ATCAATAAAGAAACAGAAATTTCTAACCTTAGAGATTTTGGATATTGGTATATACAAATTGCTACAGCAAAACTTCCTGAAAAAATGACGAGTGAACTTAATAAACTGAGAAAAGAAAAACTTGATCATCTTGTTAACTATATTAATGATTATAACACAATGCAAACCGATATTGAAAATGAAACCGATCTTGGAAAATTAGAGAATTTTTGGCCAAATCAAATAAGCAGTTCAAATTTCACACCGGAAGATAAAAATAATCTGAATAAAGCCAGAGAAAATAGAATTAATGAACTGAAAAAAACACAAACCGATGAAACATATGATAAAATCCGACAAAGTATATCCAGAGAAACAGATACTGATAAATTGATTAATAATGGATTCTGGTACAATCAAATACTAAGAAATAAAAATTTAACCGAAGATCAAAAAGTTAAACTGAATAGAGATAGAATCGATAAATTAAAAGAATTATCTGATAAATACTATGACCAAATCAGTAAAGATATTCAAAGTGTCGAGGATTACAGACAACTTAACGATGCTGGTCCGATTGATCGTAGAATCAGACGATTAAATGATGCGAACCTTAGTAATGGAAGAAAAACCGAGATATTACAACAAGAAAGGCGTGGCCGTCTCGATCTATTCTTAAAAGAAAAAGCGTTAAGTGATTATGATACTTACAACAAACAAATTGATAATTATTACAGTTGGCAATGGGTTCATCTATTAACAAATGATAGTCCGTTGACAAATAATATAATGAACCTGAATCAGACTTTATTATCTCCAGAAAAGGATAAAAATGTTCTTATCGAACTTAGAAAATTTAAATACTATAATTTACTTTACGATCTTATAAAAAAAAACATGGAAGAAGACACTGATAAAAATCAATTTGCAGATAATGGAACGTATGATATTTTGATTCAAGGACTTGATCAAAATTACTTAAAACCACCAAAATCTGTAGATGAACTACAAAAATTGAGAAAAGAATTAGGATCGAAATTACAACCATCAACAAATAGAAATAAAAACAACCCTAAAAACTTTTACGAAGCTCTTGATTCATTGGTAGGAACATTCCAAGCGAAAAGAATGATCAAAGACTATATTTTAGATGAGAATGATATCAGCATATTAAAAAATGATGAGTATTTTGATCACAGAATAGAACTACTAGATGATAAAAATAAAAAAATTCTCTTAAATCTTCGAAACAAAATCGTAGAAGTCTATAAAAAAAAAGATTTGTTAAATAAAGAAAAGATAAAAAAAAAAATATCCTTGATAACAATCAAAGATATAGATGATGATTTTGTTGATAATTTATTCGGGAAGTTTTGCTGTAGCAATTTGTATATACCAATATCCAAAATCTCTAAGGTTAGAAATTTCTGTTTCTTTATTGAT